AGTTACAAATACTGAAGCATTTTGGTAACAGACACAGTAGTTTTGACATCGTCTGTTCATTTGATGAGTTTCTGGAAGTTTGGAAAATTGTACCTCTATAATTGGATAAAGCGCTTATTCTAAACTAAACATTTTCAAATGTAGAAAACAAACTAGCAAGCTACACATACAAAGAAAAGCCCTCTAGGACAAGCTTTCCGCGTGTTGAATGCCAGCATATGCACCGTGAATCCTGGAAGACTAGAGTTGTTACATACATTTGGCCCGAAGTCTTACACTCCAGGCTTACAATGGAGCTTGCATTCACCTACACGTTAATGACAAACTCTGGGTTAGTATAGGAGAAGCCAGCAAATTCATTTTGGTCCAAGTTCATGATGAAGAGCTTATCAGTAGGCGTGAGTTCCACAGGCTGTCTGGTGAACTCTTTGTCGAAATTGGAGGTGTCTCGCTTGTCTCTCTGCCAAATGGAAAGCAAACACATTAACACAGCATAAGGAGAAGGAAACGTGACCGAGACATGCCAGTTATTGGGAAGTGGCTGACGTCTCATGGGCAGAGTCAGGAAGAGCCCTGTGCTGACCATTTTTAGCAGCTGCGATGAGATACTATCCCCTAGCTTTCATTTCACATTGTCTGTTGGCTTCAGGAGAGAAAACTTGGTGGAAATTTTCTAAGAAGGGAAATGAGACATTGAATTTCTTTAAGAATTGCCAGAAAGTGGTGTGTGTGTGTGTGTATTTTGTTTTCTTTGTCTTTGAGATGAACCGAGTTAGAAATGACTTCTTGTCGTGTACAATGTCTTAGAATTAGTCATGCAGTAGAGAGTCCAGGAGAAAACCATCCAAGAGCGCCCCCTGTGGCTAGGAGGCTTCTTTCTTTAAAAAGATGAAGAGCTCCAGAAGAAAGAGTGGCAAAATGGGGAAATCAGACCACTGCTCCATGAAAGGCATGGACCACTCATCCACCCCACATTCCCCGGCGCCATGGAGGCTTTGAAGGGATGCTCGGAAATCCACCCACAGACTAGAATTTGGGTCTTCATCAGCCAGAGGTTCTTCTAAGGATGTTTACAGCTTATATTTAGGAACAAACTATTAGTCTAGGACAGCCTTAAAACAAACATTCTACTCTCCTAGTTAGTCTGCCATTTCTTTTGGGGGATGGGCACTAATTCCAGTTCCTTAACTACAGTTTGGGGCAACTTTTACCAGGGACTGGCAGAGGAAAGGCTAATAAAAAGATCTCACCCCTGTATGATGCTCTTACCTCTTCAGGGTCCTCATCAGCCTAGGGTCATCCCATCCTCACCACCCGCCTCGCCCCCTGTGGTTTGACATACGAGAAAACTGAGGCACAGGAAGGTAAAATGACTTGCACAAGAGTCGGTTGGTGATTTTTGATTTGACCACATCATTCCAAATTATGCTTCGTCTCAGCCCCTCTGACTGTGGGGGACAGCTTGATGGCTGGTTTATTGCAGGACAACCGGGGATAATGCCTGGATTTCACTGGTACCCAGCAGGTTACTGGGCAGGAAGCCAGATTCGTGTCAGCTTGTAAAGAGAGGCAGGTCAGTGAGGACTGACTGATTTGCTAGGGTTTGGCCAGTTGCCATGCATGCTTTAGGTTTAAGTCCTAAAGCACACTGATCTGCAAGGATTTCTCACTGCTCGGCTCACTCCCCTTTACAAAATACCACTCACAAGAAAGTCTTCTTTTTGGCTGCTCCCCTGAGACAGGCAAAGTGTCCCTGTGGAGGTCCCCACTTACTCTTGTGGGGTTCGTCTGGGAGTGTAGGAGTGAGGGGGACTTCAGGAATACACTTCAGTAAGTGTGGCTGCTGGGGACTGGGCTGAGACACTGGTGGAGCTGCCTTCTGGACAGTGGGCCATCGCCTGCCATGCTCCACCCATTCTACTTCGTCTTGTCCTGCCAGCCTGTCCTGCGCTGTCCTAGGTACTGAATGCGTTATTTTCTGTGTTGGCCAAAAGCTCAAATGGGCTACCTTTCCCTTTAATGTTCCCTGTGCATCCCTCTCTGGACCTGACAGGTCATACTATAGCATCTTTTTGATTGTCTTCCTTGCACTTGCTGCTGTCAGATATTGTCATGATTATTTACCATCTTTCTTCAGGAGGGCGGAGTCCTTGTCTGTGCCCTACCAGTGCCAAGACTTGGCACGGGGCAAGCCTCCTGCAATTATTTCCTGAATGAATGAATGAATGAAGACTTGACTAAAGATAAACCTCTTTGCTTTTTCTGACTTACAGCTGCCTCTGAGCTAGAGACCTTACTCTACAGCAAAACAATGGAATTTGTTTCCATTGATCCTGTGAGTCTCTCATGTGGACCACTGTCTATTGTGAGCCCCAATATGGAAAGAACTGTGTTAGGCCCCTTTGAGATCTGAGAGCTCCAGGGCTGTGTGTGAGCCCTGGGTCTACTTGGGGCCAAAAGACAGGCAGTCATCTCCTTTCAGGTCCCCCCAGGTAGCCTCCCCTGCCTGTGGGCACCCAGCAGAGATCCCCCTCTCACTAGCCCCAATTCTGGAAGCCCTTCCTCACTGGCTGCGCTGGTGATGACTGATGCTTCAAACAGCCACGTGGTCCAAACAATACTTGTTGTCCTGGGAAGATCCTCATAAAAAAGATCCCTGATTTTACCCTAGAAGCTGGGAAAGAATGGGCCTCTCTGTTGGGACAATCCCTTTCTGGGCTGACAGTATCTGAAGCCACATGAAAACAGGCTCACTCATCTAAGGAGGGTCACTGAATTCACTGGTCTCCTATTCATTCCCCAAGAAGGTCATCGTGACCGTGCCTTGTGCTTTCTTAGAAGAGAAGCAGGTTAGTGAGACATCTAAGAAATGAAAAGAGGGATGCTAAGATCCTGGGAGACCATCAGCCATGGCTGATGTGGTAGACTGTGTTTAGGTTTCTTTGGATTTTCTTATTTAGTTTTTTTTAATTCTCCTCTAATTTAAGTTCTTTTGGAAAAATCTCAACCTGTCTCATCTAGAAGAACCAGGTGGTGTGGGGCCAAGGGTCAGTGTTTCCCTGAGGGCCAGAAAGTGTCATGCCTGTAGGACTTGGAGTGATAAACCCAAGGTGAAACTCAGGACTCAGAATTGAGCTCTCCAAACAGTTCCCTCCCTCCATACAGGCATCTGTCTCTGCTCAAATCTTAGTAACTCTGTGGTCTGGTCAAGCATGGAGACATGCCTTTGGCCTTCTAGAAGGTAACTCGCCCCAGCTACCAACCTGCCTCTCTCTTTCCTCACCATCACCCTGTAGGATTGTTTCAGAAATCTGGGTCAAGAGGGAGCTGCTGCCTGTCTTCCTTCAGCCTCATATGTGGTCCACAGAGCAAAAGAGGGGCCCCAAAGACTTCTGATGACTTCTTTCTTAAAAGAAGCCTTCCCTGATTATCCCAGAGACCAGTTATCTCTAGATCATACCATGCTGTTAATTACTTGTTTCATGACTGCCCTCCTGGATTGCATCTTCACGGTTCCCCACTATGCTCCTGGCCCCCAGGATAGAGCCTGGCACACAGTTGGTGCTCAATAAATGCTGGTTGGGTGAATGAATGGAAGATGGAATGCATGGATGATTGCAAAAATAAATTTAAAATCTTTCTTCTTGGATACATGTGCCAAGTACTGCCCTGGGGTTATCCATGTTGCAAGCGCTGTTTCTCAGTCTCCTCGGTCCTTGAAGCTTAGACAGAAAAGGCAGCTTCAGGAGTTCTGACTCCTGATCCCTCCCTACCACAGAAGGCTTCTCTGACCAACCCTCAGCATGACGTGTTAGGGGAGCAGAGACTTTGGTTTGAGTACCTATTTCTGCAGACTATTGAACTTTTGAAAAATAATGGCAGCAATTTGGAAAATGTAGAGTATGGCAGATGTATAAATATATAAACAATATACTCCTTCTACCTATCTATCTATCTATCTATCTATCTATCTATCTATCCATCTATCCATCTATCATCTATCCACCCATTCAACCATCCTACATTGTTCTCTAAAGTTAACTCTGATCATTTGTCAATGGTCCAATGTTTCTCCATGGTTTTTAATCCTCCTGAGAGCATATCCAAGGAAAGGCCTGGTGACCCAAAGGCCAGATGAGGGACCTCAAATAACTTGTCTTTCGGTGGGCACAGCTCGGAGATGGCAGCCACGGAGCAGAAAGATGTCTGCACCAGGAATGGGGAAGCTGGGTTTGCGTCCCAGCTGGCTGACTGTGGGCAAGTCATTTCCTCCCTCCACATGCCAGTTTCCCAACAATAAAATGAGATATCCCTCCTTCTCTAGCCTCCTGAGCTGGTCAGCTAGGACTTCATGTTCGCTTCCCCTGATGTCTAGGTTGCCACCAGCACGGCAGCAGCAGGGATGGTCCCAGAGTCCTCAGTGAGGAGACAAGTGTGGGCAGAAAGGCGTGAACAGCAGGGGGCTTCACCAAAGTGGAAATGAAATTATGGTTTTCTTCAAGATGAGAAATCTCACTTCAAGGACAGCTATCAAGTTTTTTTAAGTTCTCTTGATGATCTCTTAGAAGCCTTGGCACTTCCAGAATCCCTTGACTGGTGATAAGAGTTCACTTAGGGCTGCCTGAGGATAGCAGGGGACAGAAGGCAAGGATGAAGAAACACCACTGTCCTTATCTGTTCAGACGGAAGTGGGATTTCTCCCACCCAAGGGGTTTCCTTGGGCTTCTGGGGGCTTAGAAAGCTGCTTGCTAGAAAGAAGGTTTAGTCTAAGCTGGAAGGACTGGCAATTCTGATAAGAAAGTCAAGAGCCCCAGCCCTGCTCCGAGCTGGCCTCTAAACTTGACTCTAATGGGAATGTGGGCTTTGAGCTCTGATACCGTGGGAAGCCCCCAACTCAGCTCACCCCACCCCGTTACACCAGGAGTCCCTGAATGGCCCACAGCCCCAGCCCCTTGACTGGCTGAACACTGGGGCCACAATTAAGATCTGGGTTTAGTTGCTTTTTTTTTTTTCTGTCCTGAAGCCTCAGGAGGCCCCACTTTGTAGTTTGGGTCCATGTTTTTCAAAGAGAGCTGTTTTCCTTGAAATGGCATTTCTTCTTCATTCTTTCTTTTTTTTTTTATTGTATGTCGATGCTAGAAGAAAAACGGCACATAACAGATATCCAGATACAAATGAACATTTCCACAAATATCTCAAAACAACATCACCGTGAAGAAGACAACTATCTATGCTTCAAGAAGTGGGGTCCCTCTCAGAGCACTTAATTAGCTTTCCAAAGCCAGCAACAAACCTAAACAATCCCGTCCGCACAGGTTCCAGAGCTGTCTTCTTGGTAAATCAAAGCAGGTCATTGTGGTTAATAACATTTGGACACATATTTCAAAGCATGTGTAACAAAAATGAATAATTTTTTTTTGCATCTGAACAATAACAGAAATAAAACCCCAAAGCAAATTAAGTTTGAAATGTAATGTAAAACCGTGGCCCTTTGGGACCTTGCTAGAGTGACCATGTCTTTTCAGGGAGTGGGTCCAAATGCCCTTTTCAAGTAGTTTGAGGATGAAGGTGACTGGGGACACAAGAGTACCAGGAATTGCAGCCCTGAGGTAGCACCCAAGCTGGTTGCCTTATGACTCCTTGAGGTGCCTTTAGATTGAAAACTGTCCAAAAGCACACTCTTGGAATTTTAAAAGGGCATAGATAATCTCCTTAACTTTGAGCTAAAAAAAAAAATACAAATAAGATTTTATTTTTAGCGCGTTCTTTTCAAAGCTCCTGGTGCCTCCAAACCAGGCAGACTGGAGGAAATTCCTTCTAAGTCAAAGCAACCATACGCTTGGATACACGCCAAGCTCCAGGTCCCGGAAGTGGAAGAAAACTCATAGCATCCGATTATCCATTTGTTTGGTGGGAAAAATCGGGATTGGATGGTTGGTGTTGGAAAATGTGTGAAAATGGCAGTGCAGGAAAAAAGGACAAAAAGCAGGCACGTTCTGTCCCCGCTGGACTGACTTCGCTGACATGCTGGGGAAAAGAAATGCAAGGGGACTTGCTAGTTATGCAGCTGCATTTCCCACATGCTATCTGCATGATCCCATCTCACAGAGATGCTCCAAACTACCTGAGGACATTTGGGTCCTGAAACATGGCCACTCTAGCCTCATTAGCAAATAAAACACGGATGCAACTTGGCAATGAAAAAAAAAATGTCACCACAATAGCTGTTGAGCTTGAATGACAGAAATGAAGGACGGAGATCTACACATCTACTTAGCTCTTGACTTCAGGTTTTAAAAATTCAGAGTTAACAAAGGAAAATCCTTCGAATTCTGATTGGTCAATATTCCTGATGACTTCCTGGTCAGGAGGTGTTAGGACGGGTGGATGGCGGGTGAAAAATCGGTCGAAGTTTTCAGCATTTCGCCCACACTATGAGAGGGGAAGAGAAGAATTTGTGGTGGGTGGGAAAAAAAAAAACAAAAACAAAATCCAAAACCAAAATCAAACAGAACCAAACAAAACTGGGTGAGGTTTTCTCCAATCCCTTCCCTTTCACTTTGGAGAGGTTTCCATGATCAGAAATGAGAGCAACATAAGATGCAAAATTCTCATGATCATTGATTGGCACATGACCTTGGGCTCCCGACCTTCAGTTCCTGTAGCTCATGCGCTGCCCCTGGTCCTTCTGGGCAGTCAGGAGCTGGATGGCAAAGGCATGGGATGGGGCTGGTGGCATGTGGCGTGTCCCCAGGACCCCACCCCAAGGAGTCGGCCAACCGCATCAGTTGAAGGAGATGGGGATTAAGGTCCTCAAGATGTTTCTTGTGGCACAAGATGCAAAGTAAGGATCCATTCATACATCACCTGGGAGATCCCAGTATTAAGCAGCAGGTCCCTCAAAGTGCTATCCTCTGGCTCTTAGTCAGGAACAGTGGATGTTTTCCAGTCCCACAGATACAGGGGTTTACAAACTCTGGTCAATGGAAAAAGATCTCAAGACCTGGGTTTGGTGCCTGCAATGGTTAGGCAACCACGAGGCCCTGGTTAGCATGATAAGTCATCAGTCCTTAATTACAAGGTGCCAGGAAGTAAACTCAGCCATTCTCCCTCCAGATGGGAATGACGGGCGTGGGATGCAGCCAGACCAGTGCTTGGTGAGGCAATCTGGCTCTGGAGAGAAAACCATCGCCATTTCTCACCCACCCTGTTAGCCTTCTGTATGAAAATGTCCTGGTCTGAGGCAGGGTGGTAAAGTGTGTGTGTATGTGTGTGTCCATGTGTATACCCACATGTGAATACGCACACATACACACTCCAGCTCCCATCTAATGCGAAAAGTCACTAAATCTGGAGTTCTTTGTTCTTCACCAGCAACACCCATTTGCATGACATTTCTAAGTGTTTCAGTGTCTACAGGAAGCCATCACCACCTAAGAACACAGTAGTAGCAGTAGTAGTAATAACAATAATCATGAAGTTAATATTTATTGTGCATTTGCTATGTTCCAGGCACCCTGGAATGCTCTTGACTTGAAGTATCTTATTTAATCCTCCCAATAACCCTATGAAGTGAGTAATACTGTCATCCCCATCGTACAGATGAGACTGAGGCCAAGGAGGTTATGTAATTGTTCACGGTCACGTTGCTAATGAACAGCAGAGCTGCCGTGTGAGCCAGGTCTGCCTGACATCAGAGTCCAAGCTCCTGGCGCCATGTTGCAAGAACTGGTTGGTGGACATGGAGCGGGGCAGGGGTGTGGGCAGAGGAAGGAGATGCCAAGGATGGGGATGATGAGGTCTCTGGTGTGAAGGGCAGAGAACGTGGTTATAACTCCGAACGTGGTTATAACCAAGACAAAGAATGTAGGCGAATTCAGAAAGATGACTATTTCCATTTTGGACATGATGACTTTGAGGGACCACCATTTTAGGAGATGATCTGAGGGAGTTAGAAGTATGGGTTGTGGAGCTCAGGACGGAGGTCTTGAAAAAAATTTTTAAAGGACAGCCTATAGAGGGTGGAAAAAAGATAATAACAATAGTGACAGTAATAGTAATAAAAACCATTGAGAGCTTTCTAGGCAACAACATTTGCTAAGTGTGTCGCAACCTTTAGCTTTTTAATTCACGTAGCTACCCCTAGGAGGTGGGTATTTGATTTCCATTTGCCAAAGAGAAAACTGCCCTTAAAACTTAGAGCAGTAAAAGGAGAACCAGGGATGGCCCAGACTGATGGACCAGATGTGGGCTGTGAGAGGAAGAGAGGATGTCTGGGTGACTTTGGGTCTGGGCAACTTGGTGAGTGGGCTCCACCAGGGAGTAGAGTGTATTTTGGGGGAGAAATTGAGCACTTGGTTTCATTTATGACAAGTCTGAGAGTCCAGTGGGGATGTCAAAGGTTGGGCGGGAGTCCCCGTGCTGTGGTGGCAGGACTGAAATGGGAACTATACCAATGGCAGAGGCAACCGGGGACACTCGGAGATGGTTGCAGTCATCCAGAAGAGAGAGATGTGGGGAATAGGGTGGAGCAGAAGGATGGAGCTGGGAAAAACAGAGAGGTGTTGGTGGCAGGGATGGGAGGGGTGAGATGGCATGTTACACGGCAGCCCTGCAGATATTTCTCTCTGGCCTGGGTGTTAGGCCCCCAACCAGCCAGAATAAGAAGCGTGTTCGCTGAGACACAGAGAGTCTTCAGTGGCCATTTTTCTTTAAGTGCCAACAATTTCCCATCCACACCAGAAGGCTGTTGCTTTGCCGGGGCCTCCCCAGGGGCTGTGATGGGAGACAGAGAAACAGCTTCTGGCAGCCTTCCCCTCCCATCACTCCCCCCACAGCCTGGGGAACAATGAAATCTTTAAGTGAGATAGCAGAGAGGAGATGCAGGGACAGGGGTTAACCAAGGGGGCACAATGCAGCGGGAGCGTGACTTCCCTGCTAATCAGCAGCTTAGGAGGCTGGCAGATCGCAGCCTCCCTAAGTGTTTCCATGTTTTTCAAACGGAGCTGTCACTGTCCATTAGCTTCAGGAGCGCTCCCTAAATGGAGACGTCAGCCCCTGGGAGGCACAGCCCGGATCAGCGCTGCGCCTGCCGTGTCCTTGGAGAATGGGCAGCGCGGCGGCTGTAGGATCTAATTACCAACACAGCGTGGACCACACCTGCTTCTCTGGCTGTCTTGGGTGGATGCTGCAGCCTCACTCAGTGGCTAAAAGAAAACCCACGCCCCTCGTCATCAGGGTGCACCGCTACGGCTTCTGGAACAGGAATGGGGGCCAAAGCCAACGAGGTCACTTCAGTCACCTCTTCCAGGGTTGGAGGGGGAGTAAGGATTGTGACTTCACCTGTCCTCCAGAATTTAAGAGCCAAGATCATCTGAAAAGCTTATCTGTGAGCTATTTACATATGAACTTTTTTTTTTCTCTTTCTTCTTTCCTTTTTAATTTCTGTTTCTTTGTGTTAATAACAGCTCTGAGCCTAGCTGTCAAATGTGGAGTTGGCTCAGTCACAGCAACCACAGGGATCTTTCAAAGACACCAACCTGGATACATCACTTCCCTGCTCTTATCTGCGATGCCTGCCCACTGCCCAAAGCCGCACTCCTCAGCATGACTTACTGGCTGTTCGGAACCCGGCCCTGGTCAAATAGCCCCATCACTGCCCAAGTTCCCCAGGTCCAACTCCTCCCGCCTGCAACATGCCCTCCAGCTATGCTGAAATACTCCAGGTTCCTAGACTGCTCATGCGCTCTCTCACCTCCAAGCCTGTGCACAGGCTGTCTCCTCCGCCAGGAACACTTGCCTCCCCCGTCTCCGAACACTTGCATCCTCTCTGTCTCCAAACACTGCCTCCAGAAGCCTCTCCTGGACCCCTCCTCTATACCCCTGAGTTTATCCCATCAAGATAAGAAATGTTCATCACAGAATTGTTAGAGGTAAAAAAAATTATTTGAAATCAACTCTCGACCTATAGGGCAAACAGTTAAATAAATAATGACGCAACTATTTTATATGTTACCATGCAAAACGCTTTTAACATAAGATGTAGAAGAATATTAAATAACAGTTACATATAATTAATAGCAGTGTATACAATATGTTCCCATTCTATAAATTATAGACATACATGTGTCTGTACTGTCTGCAGGCGTATTACACAGGTGCTTATAGAGATCGGGGGAGCTACAGATTGTTCATATTTTCTCCTTTATCTGTTATGCTTATTGTATTTTTGAAAATTTAAATGACCATCAAGTGTTATTATTTTTGTGTGTAATAAGAAAAAAAACTACAAAAGCTATTTTAAATGAGGGAGCAATCGCAGCAGAGAAAGGAGAGAAATAGAAATAAAGGGAATATTGACACAACATTATGAACTAACTATGTTTCAATAAAAATATAATATAAAAAACAGAAATAAAGGGGATGGAAACATTTAGCCAAATTGTTAAAATCTGCCTGGTGCTGTTTAATGCACTTCATCTTAGTTAAAACCTCTAAGATCTCCCAAGTGGCTGCTCTCATGAGTACTTTGGTGTTAAGAGGACGATGACAAAGGCTAATGTTTAAGGTTCTCTAAGTGGGCATCTTCTGCCCAGCAGCGTGCCTGCCGAGCACCAGATATAAGATGATAGGGAAGGAGGACCCTGTCCTTGTTGTCGTGGAGCTTAGAGTCTAGCAGAGGAGACAGAGCACACCCAGGCCACGGCATGGTGCCACGTGACCAGTGCTGCCACTGAGTGCAGAGGGGAGGAACCCAAGAAGGGCCGGGAAGGCTTTCTGGAGGAGGTGACATCTATGCTGAGTGGGACCGGAAAGAAAGACATCGCTTCTTTGGAGGAGGGAAGGAAAGAGCCCAGGGAAGAAGTGGAGGTGAAGAGAGGGTAGGGACAGGGCAGGATGCTGGAGAAGGGGATAAGGGCCCGCCCCACGCTGCTCACTGCTTAACCGGCGTTGGTAACAGGAGGCCGGTGGCACAGGGGTGCTTCCTGCCAGCCCCCACCCAGGCACCAGAGCATCTTCAGGAGCCCAGAGGAGGACACAGCGAAAAGACATCCAAGCCACGAGTCCAAGTGGAAGACAAAGGAGTCTCCCGCTCTCTCTCTTTCTTAATGTGCAAATTCAATGAAACTCGGGATCCTTCTTATGTCTTGTGGTTCTCCGCAGCAGGAGGACGCAGGAGGGACCCAGCCAGCAAGAAGCAGCCGGCCAAGCACAGAGCTGCACACACATTTGGTCATTGAAAAAAGTCGTTTGTGGACCAAGTTTTTCTCCCAAGCAGTGTCAGACAATCTTCCACACGGTCTGGCCTTTGGCAAAGAAGGAAAGATGAAAGTCTCCTTTCCTAATCACGAAGGTCCCTTAACAATCAGGGGTATTTGATCTCCGTGTCTATCTAGGAGGAAGTCAACAAGGGAGGGGGTCTTTTGTGCTTG